TCATTGGGAATTTGCACCTGTACATGATATGTCTCGGTTCTTGTCTTTTCCCATTCCCCTTCCCTCCCTTCCATCCCTCCACCTCTCCCTATTTACAAAAGCTTTGTTTCCATTTTCCTTGTTTACTCTTTATCTTCCACTCTCCTTATCAGCAATTAGCTCATCCATAATACAGCCCAAATTCACTTCCTTCTCTCCATCTCCATTACTTCATCATATCTTCCCAGCATTACTACTATGGAATAGGTGTTCTAGTTTCTACTCTCGAGTCCTGACAATTCATTCCCCACAAAAAGTGTCTTCTTAGAAAGATAATCAGATCAAGCTTTCTGCTTAAATTATTCATAAATTCTCACTGTTTTAGAATAAAAATTCAAAGCTATATAATGGTTGGCAAAGCATAAGCCAGCCACTTCTGCCTATCTGTGCAATCAATGTGGTACCATTCTAATCTCCTAGTATGTGCCAACTACACTGACCTTTTTGTTTCTGAAACAAGCAAAACACATTCTCACCTAAAAACAAGGACTTTTCATTGCTATTTTCCCTGCTCAGAAGCTCTGCCTCCCCCTCCTCTATCCAGTCTACCTACATTTGGGCCCACATTCCCTAACTACTTTCTATTCTTTTATCCTTTTTCATTTTCTTCATATCATGCACAACAACAACAACAACAAAGATTAAAAAAAGGGACCGGGGATTTAGCTCAGTGGTTTCGCCACCTGCTGTGCAAGCACAAGGGACCAGAGTTCGATCCCCTGTAACAAAAAAAAAAAAAAAAAAAAAAGATCATGCACAGTAAACTTTTTAAGTATATTTTTATTATATATACTTATCTCTCTGTCTTCCTATTTGAAGGTAAGCTCTATGATCATAAGGATCCTTTCTGTCCTTTTTATAATCCTATCACTAAAGTCTTGTATGTGCCTCATAACTAAGTGCAGAATAAATTTATGTGTAAATAATGCAAAGTTTTCATAGGATCATCCTTAAATAAGATATGTTTTACCTCTTTCCTATCCCTTACTCAACATGAGTCTAAAAGAGAAAGCTGGGCTGCCTACTCAGAAGTAACCTGCATATTATTGTCATGCTTCTACACTTAGGTTAGACAGAGCTGCAGCAATGTCTGGAAGATTTTTCAAAAGACAACACAATAATGTCTTGTGAAAAATACTGTCAATTAAAATGAAATACATACACAAATGCTTAAATCTAAAATCAGATACTATATCCTTTCAATAACTAACTATTGTGTAAGAAATATCATTTGGAGCTTTTAACGTAAAGATTATTTTGGCTCCATGAGAATAAATATGTATTTATCTTATACAGTGTATTAAATAGGTAAGTATCTTTTGTGAGAAGAGAATTTCTTGCAATATTTTACAAGGACATTTTTCCCCCTCACCTTTTAAAACCAAATAAGCCAAGTTTGATTGTTAAAAAAAGTTCTTCAACTTAGATTATTTTCACAAAATATATAATACTGGGCTATAAAAATTATTAGAATTCAGTATTTTCAAAATCATTAATAGATTCAGTGATTCTTTTAAAATAACAAATTCCAGACTGACACATCTGTATTTCTGATATCTTTCCTATTATTCCTCTAATAAATTAATATTCAAATAATTCCTACTTCAATTCATGTAGCAAAATGGTCAAATCTATCAATAACTTTATAATATCAAAATTTTTCCTACCTGAAAAATTTTCTATCTTCTAAGAATTATTTAAAATCTATTTCAAGTAGCCAGGCATGGTGACATATACCTGTAATCCCAGCTACTCAGGAGGTTCAGGCAGGAAGAATACAAGTTCAAGACCAGCCTGTGCAGCTTACCAAGATCTTGTCTCAAAATAAAAAACAAAAGCAGGGGTAGGGATGTAGCTCAGTGCAAAGGCCCTAGATTCAATATTCAGTAAGAAAAACAAAGAGAGAAGGAAGAAGATATAATTCAAGTATCATCTTCAATTTCTGAGAGTAAGAACTATCCCAAATGCAGATATTTAGTTTCTTGGTATCCTCATTTCAATGACACTCACATAGTTTGTGCCTCAGAAACAACTTAGTTTTCACTTGTTCTACCTCTACAGTAGATGTCCAATCTTCTTGCCCAGTAACTGGAACTATATCCTTCTCTGACCTCCAGTTCATAAATACTTTTACATTCTTCCCTCTACTGTTCACACTCTTTGAGTCTATAGCTTATAATTTCAACTATTCAGTTTATTTTCACCAGCAACCTTCCTTCCTTCCCAGCAAAAATGAAACATCTCAACTCTTACTGATATAAATGTTCATATTCCCAAAACTGACAAACAGCAAGCCAAAATTAAGCACACAAAGTAGCCAGGTTTCACCACAGAGATTACTGACATGATCAATTAAGCTTTCAACGCAGCCCCAATACCCTAATATATATATATATATCATCAAATATCTATCCCTATCAGTCACTCTTAAAATACACTAAATATCCCCCCACTTACTGCTTTTCAATGTCAAAGAAAATACAAACTCAATAGATTCTTTCATCTTTTGTTACACTAAAACCCACCTAACCTCAATTAGCCATCATAGTCTAATTCTACTACTTTCAACTTTCAAAGGTCCTAGCTTTTTTTTTTTTTGAGGAGCATTTCAACACATTCAAATAAAAATGTACCTCCATAACAAATGCTCCGAAGCTACATCATCTCTGTCAAATCCCGGAAGATAAGAAAGAAGTAAATACTAAAGCCAGGCATGGAGGTGCAAGCCTATAATCCCAGTACTGAGGAGGCTGAAGAAGGAGGATTGTCATGAGTTCAAGGCCAGTCTGGGCTACACAGTGAGTTCAAAGCCAGCCTGAACTATGTAGTAAGATCTTGTCTCAGAACAGAACAAAACAAAACTATCTATATCCTAGAATGCAGTGGTACCTCAGTTCATGAATTTCATTCTTCCCATGATTCTGGTTGCAGAATTCATTCCACCATTCTGGTTGCAACCAAATTACGAGTATAGTACATATAGTACTATGGAAAGAATTAAGTTTGTGAACCAAGATGCCACTGTATGAGATTCTCATGTATTATTATTAATGTTATTATGTAGTTTATTAATGTAGCTAAATAGTACAGCACTTGTCTACCATATATAGGGCTGGGGATTTAACTTAGTGGTGCTGCCTCCTGCCCCGCAAGTGCAAGGACCAGAGTTTGATCCCCGGTACCAAAAAAAAAAAAATTCCTATACCAAAGATGACCTGACAATTAAAAATAATAGTATCTGCTAAAATCCTTGGCATAAAGAATTTCGGTAGCCATAACAATGACAGAATTCTGGTTTTTTTTTTTTTTTTTTTGGTACCAGGGATCGAACTCTGGTCCTTGCACTTGAGCAGCAGGCAGCAAAACCACTGAGCTAAATCCCTGGCCCCAGAATTCTAAATAATAGAAAATCTAAACATTATAAAATGAGTATATTTAAAATTTACAATGACAAAAATAAACCAAACTATGAAAAAAGAGTAAGTCAAAAAAGATACAAGGTAAATATGTACAAAGAATAAACAGAATAACTGATATTCAAACTTTGATGAATAAATTAAAAGGTAACCATGATGAAATACAACTTCATACCTTTTAGGATGGCTACTATCAAAAGCAAAAACAAACAAGCAAACAAAATCCAAAAACAAAATATAGTAAGTGTTGGTGAAGATGCAGAAAAACTGGAACCCTTATGCACTGCTGGCAAGACATAAGATGCTGTAGCCACTTTGGTCCTTAAAAAATTAAATATAAAATTACCCTAAGATCCACTAATTTCATTTCTGGATATATGTACTCAAAGAATTAAAAGGTATGAATGAAATATTAGTACACCCATGTTCACAGCAGCACTGTTCACAATAGATGGAAACAACTCAAATGTTCATCAGAGGATGAATGATAAAATTTGTTATATAAATACAACGGAATATTAATAAACTTTAAAAATGAATGGAATTCTGTAACACTAAAACATGGAAGAAGGGCCGGGGATTAAGTTCAGTGGTGCTGTCGCCTGCCTTCCAAGTGCAAGGTCTTGAGTTCCATCCCCGGTACCAACAACAACAACAAAAAAAAGCCATGAAAGACACTGTACCTGAGGATAATACACTAAGTAATGCTACTCAAGAGCTGGGGATGTAATTCTAATCCAGCTAAATTATTTCTCAAAAGTAAGTGAAGTCAAGATATTCTTATATTCCCCTTAGCCCATCATTGAAAATACTGAAAAATGCACTTCATTACAAAGGAAATAGAAGGGCCAGAGATTTAGCTCAGTGGTGCCGCCACCTGCCTGACAAGCGCAAGGTCCTGAGTTCGATCCCTGATAACTCAAAAAAAAGGAAATAGAAGTATTTATTAATAAATAAAAGAAAATAAATTTGACTTAACAATTAAGATGAGCAAATTAGGTAGATCTCAAATACTACTATTAAGTGAAGGGAACACTGGGCAAAACATATGCATAGTACGAAATTATATTTTTTAAACAACAAACAACATCATATATTATTTATTACATATACACAGTATACATATATTACATATACAGTGAAAATATGTTTAAAAAGCATAGATGGAAAGATATACATTAACTTTATCAGTAGTTAGGCTGTGCTAAGGGACGATGAAGAAGGAAGAGGAAGGAAAGAAGACTGCTCTGCAACTATATTTTATTCATGTGTATATAAAATAGATCAGACATAAAAATGTCAAAATACACAAATTTTAAACCCTTATAAAAGAATCAAATACAATAAAGCAATTCAATTGTTAGACTTATTAAGTTAAGGGAATTTAATAGTACAAATTTCCTGGAATCGACTAATAATTGCCATCTACTTTTATGGAATATGGTCCTTAAAGCTCATATAAAAGGTTAAGCTGTTTAATTTTGAAGGTACAATAAAGAAATCCACTATTAGTTCTCAAAAATACAAACAGAACAAAAACCTCACCTTAACTATTTCCAGACAGCAGTGATAAGTTTCAATCTTCACTTGTGGCAGTGGGTGAGACAACATATGCAGAAGTACCTTCTGACTTTCTCCTTGTAGTAATGGACTGGCCTGGGCAGATTTCCAGCTGGTAGAAAAGTAAAACATCCACGACATCTAAGATAAGGTACTAAGCAAAAGATTATAAAGCATATCAGAAGAGATGTCTTCCTATGCTAATTCTTCCAATGGGGTCCTTACTTAACTAAACAGTTTGGCCTGAGCTGACCTGAACATTTACTTGCTTTGGGGCAGAAAAATGTTTCTTCTTAGAGAGTACCAAAAAACAAAAACAACAAAAACTCCAAAATGCAAAATCTCTAAATATATTTAAGAAAAAGTTACAACAAATAAAACTTTAATAATAAAATCACAGATTTGATATTATTTAAAAATTTAAAGTTAGTTGTGTTTGAATAGTTGGTTTGTATAGACACCAAGATCAAATGTGTATAAAAATCCAAGGAATATTCATTTTTATTATAGGCATGACCCTTTTAAAGTTTACTCTTGAATGAAACAATTAATAGTATTAATGCATCTATCCATATACAGTTTAAAGGTCACATAAAAAAAAAACTAAAAACTAACAAAGATCTAAGGTCAATTTCATTTATATTATTCCTAAATTTATATACATGCATATACACACTCACACATACAGGGTCCTATATTAATATAATGAAAGAAAATATTACATCTTTGAACAAATGCAGATGATTTCCTTTATTAGGGGAAAATGCTGATGATAGGAAAAGCTACGCAAGGCGTGGTCTGCAAGCTCCACTAATTCTAAAAGATTCTTCTCTCCCTGAAAAAGAGGCAGAATAGGATAATAAATGTCAATTTCATATACAATAAAATTTTCCATTAAACTAATGGGAAGGGGTCTAAGAGATGTAGAGGGGGAGAAGGAAGAGAGTGAAAGGGGAAGCAAAAAGAACTAAGATGTGTTATATACATGTGTCAACCCCCACGATGAATGTAATCATAATATTCTACAAACATGTACTATTAAAAAAAAAAAACACTAAACTACTTCAAGAAATTAGATTGTTTTCGGAGACCCTGAGATTGCTTACATTTGCTTAAGTTTACTCTCTCAAAAAGTAACATACAATTGTCTGCTGAGGAGGAAAACTGTGAGGGAAACTCCTAGCTAAATGACATATGTGAATGCATATTTAATTCTGAGTCACCTTAAAGTTAAATGGAGTTACCTAGCTAGTACTTTGACTTCTTGTTTGTGGTTCTATCTCCCTTACTGAAGGCAAAGCTACTGTATTTTATCATACACCTCCCTCTTTTAACACCGCCAAATTCTAGGAACACAGAGGCTATCCAATATGACCACAGAATAATGCCACAGAAATAATTCCAGTTAGGGATATAATTTACAATTCTATCAAAGAAGAAATAAGAAATCAGTGGCATCAAGATATGTGAAAAGAAAACATAAGACACCGTAATGGGTATGTAAAGGAAATTTCTAAATATGCAGTTCAGATAAGACTCCATAGTAATATCAAAAGAATAAGAATTTTGTCCTTAATTCTTACTATCTTCAGAATCTACTGTGGTATTCTCAGACACTAAACCACTACTGTAGTCAGTGTCATCCCTAAGACACATTAAACCCTGTCAATGATAACATACTAAATAATCTCTAATATATTTTTAAAGGAATAACTACTGATACATAATAGTTGCTGCAAAACGGTAAAGTTACATATTTTATAAACAATGTATTTCATAGCTGTAATTAATTTCTAAAAAAATCAGTGTTGTTTGTATAAATATGTAGCAAATGTCTATAGACTATTAAAACCAAAATATTCCTCCAAGTGTGAGCCTCATAATCCTGGTAACATCAATTATCATTCAGTTCACACACTATAACTTACATTAAATAGATACTATTAAGTTTGAAGACATTTAAAACTCCTTTTTTTAAACCACTGATATCATGAATATGTGACAATCATTAATCTAAAGTCTGTTTTATTTTTATATAAATCATACCTTCACATTAATCTGCTAACGGACCTACTCAGTAACATATCCTTCCTCTAGCAATTCAATTGTTATACATATATGAATTTGAAAAGAATTTCACCAAAAGGACTTTTAAAAGAGGTATTAACAAAACATTTTACCTCTTTTCCAACATCAGACAGGAAGTTACAGGCACATTCAATTGAATAAACAGCCTCTGCAGTTCGTTTATAAATATTATAGTTTTCAGAATTCAGCTGTTCCAAATAGGCCACAACAGTTTCATGTATATTTGGATATTCCAAAGAAATAGACACGTCCAAAGAAAGAAGAAATAATGCTGCTGACATAGGCTCTGGTAAAAACTCACTTGCCTTGATAAATTAAAAAAAAAAAAGTTAAAAATTTGTTTCACAGTACCGCTCACAATAGCATCAACAAAAATTAAATTCTTAGGGAATAACCTAACCAAGAAAGTGAAAGGTTGCTACAATGAAAACAGCAAAAGTACAACACTTTGAAAAAGGTTATCAAAGAAGATATCAGAAAATGGAAAGTTATCCCCCGTTCCTGGAGAGGCAGAACCAATACTGTCAAAATGACTTTATTTCCAAAACTGATATACAGATTTAATGCAATCCCAATCAAAATAGCAACATTCCTCACAGAACTAGAGAAAACAATCTTAAAATTCACGTGGAACCAGGAGAGCAAAAATGATTCTGAGGAGGGCCGGGGATTTAGCTCAGTGTTTCCGTTGCCTGCTGTGCAAGCGCAAGGACCCAAGTTTGATCCCTGGTACCAAAAAATAATAATAATAATCCTTAGCAATTAGAGCAAAGCACGAGGCATTACAATCTGTACTCCAAGTTATACTACAAGGCTATGTTATTAAAAAAAAAAAAAAAGCCAGCATGTGGATCAATGAAACAGAATAGAAAATACAGAAACAACCCCAAGCACATTAAGCCATCTGATCTTTGACAGAGGGGCCAAAAACATAGCTGGAGGAAAGATAGCCTTTTTAACAAATGATGTTAGGAAAACTTTTATTCAAATCCAAGAGACTGAATCTAGATACATATCCCTCACCATGCATTAAACCAAAATCAAAATGGATCAAAGATCTAAATGTTAAAACACAGGGCCGGGGATTTAGCTCAGTGGTTTCGCCGCCTGCTGCGCAAGTGAAAGGACCTGAGTTCAATCCCTGGTATCAAAAAAAATTTTTTTTTAAATGTTAAAACACAGACACTTAATCTGCTGGATGATAAAATAGGTAAAAATGTGAAGGCATAGGCATAGGCAAAGACTTTTTTGAACACAACCCCAACTGCACAAGAAATAACATCAAGAGTCAACAAGTGGTATTATATCAAATTAAAATACTTCTGTACCAGAAAAAACCAACCGAGTGAAAACACAATCTACAGAGTGGGAAAAAGCTTTCACCAGCTTCTCCTCAGAAGACTAACATTTAGAAAACATAAAGAACTAAAAAAAATTGAGACGCCCCAAAATAAAAGACCCAACAAAAAAATGGGCAGCTGAAATGAATAGACACTTCTCAGAAGTATAAATGGTCAACAAATACATAAAAAAATGTGCAACATCTCTGGCCATTAGAGAAAAGCAAATTAAAACAACACTGAGATTCCATCTTACTTCTGAAAGAATGGCTTTCATCAAGAAATCAAGTAATAAATGCTGGTGAGGCTGGGGGAAGAAAAAGGAACTTATACTGCTGGCAGAAATGTAATCTAGTGCAACCACTTGGCAATCAGTGTGGAGATTCCTCAAAAAACTAACATTACAGCCAGGGATTTAGCTCAGTGGCACCATGCCTGCCTCGAAAGCTCAAGGTCCTGAGTTCAATCCCTGGTACAAAAAAAAACAATACAAATTCATTTCATTTGACCCATCTATTCTCCTCCTTAGGTATCTTCCTGAAACAATTAAAGACACATTACAGTGACACATGTATACCCATGTTTATACCAGCACAGCTCATATAACAAACAGCTAAATCTTAAAAGTAGACTATATGTATGTCAGCAGATGAATGGATAAAAAAATGTGGTGTTTATACTCAATGGAGTACTACTATGAATAAAAAAGGATAAATGAGTCGCTTGTAGGAAAATAGATGCACCTTAAGACACTGTTAAGTAAAATAAATTAAGTGAAATTTAGTTATGTTAAGTGAAATAAATCAGACATATAAGCTTAAATATTACATGATTTCTCTTATATGAGAAACACAAAAGATGAATAAATTAAATAGCAAAACAAAAGATAATAGGAAAGGGGGAGATAAATCTTTTGCAAAAGGGAAAGGGACTAAGAGATGGAGGCAGGGAGGAAAGGGGAAGGATTTAAAAAAGGACTATAATGTTATGTATATGCACCAACTCCCCACAATGAATGCAATCTTTATGTACTGTAAACATGCACTACGAAAAATAACAATTAAAAGATGAAGAAAAATTTTGTTTTAAAAAACCTTTTTTAAAAAACATGGGTAAATTATAATCTTAATCTGGTCTATTTTCCTTTTTAATACATATCACAAAATCTATGTTTTTTCCAAAGAACAATCTATTTCTCAACTTATCATCCACCTGTATACCTTTGTTCCATGCAATTTCTTCACCTAAATCTCTCAAATCCAAATATCAACTCTTTCTCAAAACCCAGGATACTGGATACTTTTCCTCCTTCCCCAAATCAGCACCGAGGACTGAGCTCTGCACCATATTGACACTTGTTACATCTTTTTTCTGACCATTTTGTGCATTTGGGTTCAAATCTACAAAAAGCTCCAACATACTCCTGAAGAAAACATAACTTCCCTCTCCCATAAAAACACATATACAGCCGGGGGTGGTGGTGTATGCCTGTGATTCCCAGCACTCAGGAGGCAGAGGCAGGAGGATCTCCACGAGCTCGAGGCCAGCCTGAACACAAAGCAAGACCTTGTCTCAAAAAAAAACACACTTATACAAGGCTTAGTACGTATTAAACTGAATAACACTAAATTAAGCGTAAGTACAGATTGATTTAAATAGAAATTGATTTTTGCTTTTGTGTTTTAGAGGGGAAAGAGGAAATTTAACATAATATTTCCCTACCCACCCCCTTGACTGGGGATTGAACTCAGAACCTTGCGCTTGCCAGGCAGGCACGGCACCACTGAGCTAAATCCCTAGCCCCAATATAATATTTTAAATAGTTCTGGAATCATCACAGAAACATGCCTATTGTATCCTATTATATACATTTTATGACCTAAATCAACAGATTTAAAGCTAAACAAATTTTTTTGGGGGGAGGGGTGTATGGGGATGGAATTGGGGACCTTGCGCTTTCGAGGCAGGCAGCAGAACCACTGAGCTAAATCCCTAGCCCTAAACGAATTATTTTTAAGGACTCTAGTTTTGTGGTAAGATTCTATGCACTAAGGGCCAGGGATTTAGCTCAGTGGTTTCGCTGCCTGCTGTACAAGCACAAGGACCCGAGTTCGATCCCTGGTTCCAAAACAAAGGATAATAGCTGAAATGCCATCTTTTCTACAGTGGGTTTGGTCATGACTTATTTTAAAGATGGCCAGTTTTAAAGACAATCATTAATGCTTGAAAGTCTAATATTAAGTGCTGAATCAGCTAAACGATAATGTTCTCAAATGAAGTAAAGTTGCTACATGAAGACCATAAACTATAGAAATCAAATTTTTACATTGCACACATAAAAAAACCAGACTAGTAAGATAGCAGCTATTATCATCCGTGGCTGCACTGGTGACTATATGCTGTCCTCGGCATTGCTCTAAGTATGGCAGCTCTATCTCAAGGACCACAGTGTCTCTATGTTCAAGAAATGGCCCTTCCTGGATGGCCAGGCCAGTGACATGTATTACCCTACTGGGAACAAGTCTGACTTGGCCCAGTGTTTCTTCTGCTTCAAGGAGTTGGAAGCCTAGGAGCCAGATGACAATCCCATAGAGCAGTGATGACGAACCTTTTAGAGACGAACGCCCAAACTGAAACCCAAAACTTACGTATTTAATGAAAAGTGCCAACACTACAACCAAACTTGAATACTGAGGTTTTAATTTCGAAAAAAAAGCAACTCATATATTAATATCTTTTGTCTTAAAGAACAACAAATGACACGTGTGCCATAGGTTCACCATCACTGCCACAGATGACCAAAAAGCATTCATCTGGCTGTGCACTCATTTCTGTCAAGACCCAGTTTGAAGAACTAACCCTCAGCAAATTTTTGAAATTGGACAAAGAGTGAGCTAAAAACAAAACAGCAAAGGAAACCAACAGAAAGCAGAATTTGAAGATGCAAAGAAAGTCCACTGCACCATCAAACAGCTGGCTGGCTGCCCTGGAGTGAGGCCCTTGGTGTGTGGTGGTCACCTGGCCCTGGAGTGACATATTATCTCCGAGGAATGTTCCCCAGTGTTTCCAATCTTTCAGTCCTTTAGGAAAGGAGAGCGCAAAAATTTTGAAATGGGTAAAGTGATTTTCATCTTTTCTTGAAAATAGCACCAGTGGCTCCTCTGCCTGAGTGTGATGATGCTGATTACAATGGCTCCATCTTTTTCATTGAGCTTTTTTCATTTAAGCAAAAACTATTCCTCTGTTTAGTCTTTGATTTAGCGGGTGAGGAGTGCCGGGAGCAATGCTACATAATTTTAGGGAAAAATCATTTGGTTAGCCTAGTTCTCCTGCCTACAGCCCAGCTATGGAATTCTGAGCCATAATTGCATTTTGGCCTCCGGTCACAACTGAGACCTCAGTGATCCGGTGATACTATGATTCTCCAGGACAAGAAACATCCTGGGAGCTGAAAACATCCTGGAAGGAACAAACTTCTACTCAGTTCCTTATTGCTCTTGGACTGTTACCATCTTGTTTAAGCAGATGTACTGAACTCTCTGCAAGTCATTTGTTACATTTGTTTCTCCCAATGTACTGAATAAAAGGTGCGGTAAGCTGGGGTCTTTTGTCTTTGCCGCCCAGAGCAGCACTGATCATCAGACGCAAAACTCAGCTTCTTCTCAGTCTCATTTTTCTACCTTTCCTGTAATTCGCCTTGTGCTGCCGTGGCTCGCAGGAGACTAGGACTTACTGCAGAGGTTCTGGTAACGTCCCCTTTCCCTGTTCCCTGCAGAGGAGGAGGAAGTATCCCTGCAAATGGATTGATTAGGGGGAAGGAAGCTAAATTCTCATGCAAGGAGTTTCTGGTTTGGATATTTTCAACACCCTGTTAATATGCTGGTGGGCACTGGGCTGCTGATAATTCACCTTTTCTGATGTGTGCTTCTGACGAGAGGGCAATAGAATAAATTAATTTTAAAAAT